TTTACTTCCATATAACGAATAAACCGAATTTATATTTTATATAAAAGCAAATCGTAACACCTTCGTCAAAAAGAATTCTAAAAAATCAACGGTTATTTTTAGCCACTTGAAACTTGTACTCAACAAAATCTAACACTTGTGAGAAACAAGTTTGAAATTCGGGTAAAATTTTTTTGTAGGCGTTTACAAAGTGTTAAATTTGGAATTATATGGGTTTTGTTATAGAATGAACTGTATTTTATTTTCAAATTCTGAAAAATAGATAATTACACATAAGTGGTAAACAATATCAGTTTGAAATGTGGGTGCTATTAATGTGACCGATACTGTACATATATACACATATACATATATTCCTATATATTTGCTAGTTTTTTTTTCGTATGTAGTTTTGCTTTTAAACTTACTATTCAGATTTGTTGAGGAGATGCGGTTGCTATTTATGTTGATGTTGTTATTGTTATTATTATTTCTATTGCTTCCACGATTTCCACTCGCCATTGCTAACACTCGTGCTGGTGTTGGCAACTCCTCTCGATGGCTTGCCGTTTGAAGTACTTCCTCATTGCCATCGCTACCCGCATATTCTGGCTCATAATTGTGCCTATATGCGCTGCCCCAATGGCCATTGAAGTCCTCCTCGTCGAGTGTTAGCAGGTGGTCTAGCACCTGAACGCCACGTTCAAGTGGGCCGTGGAATTTGTTTATTAACTCGGTGAGACGCAGATTGAGACCGTTGACTTCCGGTTGGGACACTGCCCAGTAGAAAAGATGTCGCCCCAAATGACTACTTAAATTATTGGCAAAAGCTTCGATCATCTTCTACGCGCTGCACAGTAGACCAACGTCGTTGACATTATAAAACTAAAATGCATAATTCTCTAATTTACTATATCACTTCTTAGCTTGGCAGTTGTTGCATGTACATATGTATGTATGTATTTGTTGTTCCTAGAAGGTAAGCGTGTATTTTAATATGAGAATATTTGTGTGCGATCTGAAAGGAAAAAGACAATAAAAAAAAGAGAAAATGTTTAGTGTTAGGCTAGAGGTGTTATAGAAATGCGGGAAAAATAAACAAATGTTTATCAATAATGATATTTATTTTTAATTTAATTTCTTTTAGTCTTGCTCATTTAATTAAAATGTTTGAATTTTTCTTTATCACATTTTATTCTCGAATTCTGCTTCGATTTTAATTATGACTTTTTATTTGGATTACATTTTTCACGTGGCGGCAAATGCATTAAGTTTTTCGCTTTTAGTTTCATTTCGTGTTGTAACTAAGTATGTATATACATATGTAGAGAAAATCACTTTTAATCTTATTTCATTGTTTATACTCGTAACCGCGCCCGTTTGTGTCTCTGCACCAGTCGCTATTTCTTGGCCGTAGCTTTGTGTTTCCTCCAATCCGTTTTCGGTGGCTTTCACCTGAATTTCCCCAGAAGATAATTTAGGTGGGCCCTCTTAAGCAAAGCCATTCTAAGAGGCCTACCCAAGAAGGGCTGCAACCAAAACCTAGGGCTGGACCAAAAGCCACATTTTCGCTTGTATAGGATATTTAAAAACCGGAGCTGATGGAGCAACTCCAAGGTCAGATTTGGATTCAGCGACCCGAGATCTATTAAAAATAGCTAGCCCTAGCTCATAAAAATTTTCATGTTTGTCAGTGTTATTATTTGATTGTTTGTATTACTGAATGTTGTTGGTAAAAAATAAAAATTTACCATTCCTTAAATGTATCTACACCACAATTTTCTAGGCGCAGAGACTTTTTATACTGCAACAAAAAACAATAATAAAACTTTATAGAATCAACGGAATTTTTTAGCACCTTCAAACTTGTACTTAGTTATAATAGAATTTCTTAAGCTGCAAAACTGCATAATCGAAATTTTACTACGAAATCTGATTAGAAAGTTGAAAATTTTCAAGAAAATTTATTGCATTTTTCTGAGTTTCGCACAAAGTTTAGAAATTTCATTTTCATGTTGTTTATGTGGTAGTATGAACTACATATATTTTCATAAAAGATTTACGAAAAAATTTTAAATAAAAATCTTTCCAGAAAGTGTTAAAAATTCTCTGTGCCTAGACTTTTGTGCTTGACTGTATATATTGTTCAGGGAATAATTCACGCTATCATTAAATGGTTGTTTTAATTAATAAGATACTAAATAATACATCTAAGTTATTCAATGTTTTTATTAGAAAAATTCTTAACCAAACAAATTTAACCGCAAACCATACGAAATCAAGGCGCGATAAAGACATTTTTCTGCCGGGTAGTTAATACCGGAATTTCGATCTGCCAATTTAATTTTAGACTTGAGATCGTTGAAATAATAAAAATTTCATTGCTCTCATCACACGTTTGAGGTGTTCTGATACCCTTTTATTACCGGCTGATCGGTCAGCCAATGTAACCGGATAATTGTGGACTATCAGAGCCTCAGACGTGGGTAAAATTGCAGCCTTAACTAAATCATATTTTTCTTCGATGATTTTTACAAGTTAAGGGCGTTCTGCCTGCCAGTGCTACCCTCCCCAGGGTATAATTTCGCGGGCGGATGACAACTCCACATACAAAAAGTAGACTCATAGACTATAACCAAATACTTCAAAGATGTATGATTTTTATAAATTAAAGAAGTAACTTTAAAAGAACTCCGGCAAAAGGCCTTCTGAAGTACGTCCTATAAAAGCCCTTCAGGAAGGCCTTCCCGAAGCCCTGTAATTTTCGTCACTCCATACAAAAAAGGAATTAGAATGGAATGTAGAGTGGAAGGCTTCTTGACTCTCAGGAAAGCCATTCGGAAGGGCTTTTTACTACTGAAATTATCTACTGGGTTGATTCAAGTGACAGGAAGTTCCATAAGCGCATGCAATGTTTCATTTGTTGCTGCAGTAAATACGGTATACAATACATGTCGTCACCTGAAATGCAAAAGGCTGTAACTTAAAAAAAATTCAAAATTCACTTTTTGATTGATATGATGGATTTCATCGAATTACAACTCCCCACATCGTTTTATGAAAAAAAATAAAAATATTAGTCACGACTTTTTCCATTTTAGTGACAATGTTGTTACGTCTTTTTGCATTTCAGGTACATATGTCTACTTTGCACACTACTTTCTGGTGTGTACTCGTATCGTTGTTGCTTCATTTATTGCAGACTATTTTTTTTTTGTGCAAAATTTCATTATTTAGTTTTTTTGTTTTGAAAATCTAACCTGCGACACCAAAAAATAATTTAACATTAAAAAATACAGGTCGAATGTCTTAGAATTTGGTTGTCTCCGGGTTAAACCGTTTCCACTGCAAATCAGCTGTTTCCAGCCAACACGTTACATGTTTTTTTTGTTGTTGTATAAAACGTGACTTCGTTATAATTTTGTTATAACTGTGATTTTATTACATTCAATGAATAAGTGACCCAATTTAATCAGAATGTTCAAAGATCGCGCGAAGACTGGTCTCAAGGTTTTTATTGGTGGCTAAAAGTTTTTATAGATGCTGGCAGAAATAAGCTGTGAGCCACTGTATGTTTGTATGTGCTAAAGATAATATCTTAACGACAAAAAATATAGTGCTTCCCGTTAACCTATTCCCATTCATATTTATACACATAAATCCATTGTTTTGAAAACGGCTTCATATATGCAACTACATACGGTCTGCGTCAAAAATATGCCTACCTTTATTTATTTATATTTCTATAACAAATTTGTCTTATTTTTTATAAAAATATAGTTTATTCAATAGCAGAAACCACAAGTATATTTGTTTTTTTTTACTGTCATACAGAACTT